TCTGTATCTGTATCTGTATCTGTATCTGTATCTGTATCTGTATCTGTATCTGAATATCTGTATCTAAATATCTGAGTATCTGTATCTGCCTCCCCCTCTTCCTGTCATTCATTCTCTCTCGCCCTCCGTCTCCACCTTGTCTCACTACTCTCATAAACAATAGCTCACTTATAGCCCTGATTTTCCACATCACTCCATTGTATAGCCTTCATAAAAAAACACATCCCTCAGCTTTAGACCGCACCAATAAATGACCTATTATTTTTCTATAAAAAATCACCCAAAACGAAACAATACTCAGGTCGCGAAAAAAAAAAACATATTAATCAAATATGCAAATAAGCGAGGCAGTCGAGAGGAGGCACATTGAATAACACTTAGCTGGCCCACAAACAATTTGCTTGAAATGCGCAATTTATGAGAGACGGCTACCCGGGGTGCCCCGCCTGCCTCGTGACTCTTCCCCCCGACTGATGATCCGTTGCCATTTAAGGTTTTCACGCATCATCTATCAAAAATTGGCAAAGCATAAAAAAGTGCGCATGCAAATATGAGAGGACCCTCAGCTAGGTACACGGAAAGGCCTGCTGTTGACTTTTTTCTTTTTTATTGAGTGCCAATCAAAAGGCAACAACTCGGCTCGATTATGAGATCAATGCCAGAAAGGGGGCTGGGGGCGGGGCAGGCTAGCAGGCAGGCAAAACAAATCGTAAAAAATGCAAATTGCAAGACGAATCGAACAAATGGGCGCGAGCTAACAAAAATCGCATTAGATGCCAAATACAATAGGCAGAGAATATTTTTCGCATATGCAAATCATAATTGGCGAAAAATATGCAAATAAGCTGCGGTCTGAAAGGAGAGTGGGAAAAACACAGATAGCGAGAGGGACAAAGAGAGTGAGATAGAGGAGGGTAGTGAAATGCCTCGAATTGGTAATTGCAAATTGCAAATTAAGTAAGAACTTTACAATCAGACCCCATCGACTGCATAATTCTTGCTCATTAATCGAAAACAAGTCAATTTATGAAAAAACATTCATGGCGCAATGGAAGAGTCAGCGAGTCAACATTAATGAAGCTATACAAATGGGAAGCCTTTAGTTTAAAACTGTGAAAAATAGAGTTGTTTTATATATCTATATATACATTTGTGTATCTATACATCTATGTATCTATATATGTATCTAGATATCTATAACTCAATCTATGTATACATATGTATGTATATATCTAAAGCCAATATGCCCACTTTCACTTTCTGAGCGAATATTTTGCATTTATTACAATAGCTGTGCTCGAACTGGAGCTACTTGACAGGTTGAATGTCCTTCGGCGCTGACGTGACGTTCTCCCTCTCACTCTCTCACATGCAGCAAAATCAATTTGCATATCTGGCTGTGGGCATGGCACTTCTGAACAGCTACCTAGCCACATTTTGGGGCATTGTGCCAGAAAATTACAAAATGTTGTTGCTCTAGCTGCATTTAGGCAACTCCGAAGTTTAAGATAATTAATGTGGCTATATTCTAAAGGACCTCTTGCATTCAAAGGTGTGTGTATAGGTCAGTGTGTGTGTGTCTACGTGCGTGTGTGTGTGTGGAGGTGTGTATAAATTTGTATATTTGTGTGTATATATATTAGGTAGTTGGAGCGAGGCTAAGTGCCCAGGTATGTGTAAACTTCCTAGTGTTAGTGTGTGTGTATGTGTCATTGGGATTGTGTGTTAGGTAAAAGCAAAATTATGTACTTGATAGGCAATTTCCTGGAATTAAATAGAACAGG